ATTGAAGGTCAAGCGATAACATGTTTATAACGCCTTCGATCATTGAAAAATTCAATAATAAAGATCTACAAGTGAAGTTCTATTTTTCACAACTTGTTCCCAAAGTCAGCTGTTATTACTTTTTATGTAGTTGTTTGATTGATTTTTTTATTGTGTTCGAATTTGCATACAACAAATATTGATGAAATACGCAATAAGATACAAAACTAATCAATCTTACCTGGATAAAATAAAGCAAAGAATGCAGTTATGTAGATCTTTAATGGGATAGTTAACTTTAAATAGTATTTTTTTAAAGCAACATGAAAACTTTAATAGACAGTTTCGCTTTCTATACCAATTATCCATTCGTTTTTATACCCCCGCTTTAAAAAAGTGGGGGTACACTGTTTTACCTCTGTCTGTCCGTCCGTCCGTCCGTCCGTCCGTCCGTCCATCCATCCGTCCGTCCGTCAGGCCATCCGTCCGTCCGTCAGGCCATCCGTCAGTCCTTCAGTCCGTCCATCCGTCCCATGAATATTTTTCGTCGCAGCTTTCTCAGGAACTACATCATAAGGATTTCTGAAATTTGGTTTCCGGGCTTATATAAGTCAGCTATACCGTGTGATGCGTTTTCAGATTCATCACTCTACAAATTCCTGTTTACCGAAATATTTGGACAGGGTATCATCAGTGAGCAGTAGCTCGCAGTTTCACTTGTTCGTCCTGAATCGGCTTGAAATATTTTGCACTGGACGTTTTTCAAACATTAATAAATCAATAATCAATTTTCGTTGATACTTTTTTTTCATTATTTTTAATTTTCATCTTCGAAACACAATATGTAAATCAGGACGCCCCTAGAGTAGACTCCGTCACAGTTCATTTTACTGGTTCCATACCAACACCCATACTTCTGATCATAAGTAAATTTAAGTAAGGAATACAAGTAAATGGATGGACGGTTATTGCTATCATAATATCAAAGTATAATCACCTTAGATATTGTTGTCGGGGTGATTGCATGCTTTCCATGTGTAGATTGTCCTTCACAAATCCCTTTTTAGTCATGTAGACCACAATATTACCGGTGACCTTAACATAGATGACAAATGGAACCAATGTTACTTTTAGCTAAAATTGTAAGCAAGCTATTGACAATTGCAAAAAAAGAAAAGAGGACGTTGAAACATTAAAATATGATCATGGATTTTGAAATTGTTGATACTTGATACTACATAACACTGCACAAACAACTAAAGACTGAGCAACACAAACCCCACCAAAAATCGGTGGAGATCATAGTTGCTCTAGAAGTCTGAGCAGATCTTGCTTCACTAGTGACCTTGGTCGCCTTGCGCATGTCAAGTACAACTTTAAAGAAAAGTCGCATACGGTAATGTCATAATCGAGGAAAAGATGGTATTATGGCTAGGACAATTGGAATAGATCCATGGTTATATATGTGAAACGAATATTTCATGAAAGTTAGCCAAATATCGATGGCAGTCGTAAACCTTTCTAATTAATGATTTCAACATTACCAAAAAGAAACCCTTTTTTCAACACCTTCCTTGTAAATTGTAACCCTCTATCAAAGAAGTAATGATAAGAAACGCAAATTTTGGGCTATTGTATCATTGGCAGATATATACTCCATATGCAGGCGCTGCTTCAATTTTGCTACATGTATATAGAAAAGAACAGTCCAAAAATAGAAAGCTTAAATCCTCTCTTTTGTCGTGACGTTTAGTTCTCAACGGAACCACATTGAATTTTTTTTTAGATCTAAGTCAAAATATGAAGCAAACTTAATTGTATTTGAGATATTTCAAGTTCGATGTGATAGATGAGTTCAACATAATCACCAAATCACGAATTATTTAGTGAGAAGACATCATCTTTATAGGGAAAAGTGAGACGACATCATCTTTATAGCGAAAAGTTAGGCTGGACGATAATGCTAACATTCTTCTTGAAAAGCTCCTGTACAAAATCAGTGCTATATGAATAAAGGATCAAGTCGACAAATAGAAGAGTGCAGTTGATTCCAATAGAAATCCCAGTAGTCTTTTGATAAAACGCGTCATCTAAACGTAACAAATATATCATCAAGCAAAACTCAGAAAAATGTTTGTTTGAATCAGAGTATCAAGTATTATGTAAACCCTTCCTGAAAAAAAAAATTATCTACGTTATAAAAATAAGGAGATGTGGTATGATTGCCAATGAGACAACTATCCACCAAAGTTCAAATGAAGTGGATGTAAGCAATTACAGGCAACCGTATGGCCTTCAACAATGAGAAAAACCCATACCGTATGGTCGGCTATAAAAGGCCCCGACATGAAAAATATGAAACAATTCAATTGAGAAAACTAACGGCCTAATTTATAACAAAACAATTTACGAAAACCAATCATGACTGAAATGGAACAACGACCACCACTGAACTACAGGCTCCTGACTTAGGACAAGCACATAAAGAATGTAGCCATTTTTTTTTAACTAATTCTTTAAATCTTTCTTTAAGTTCAGAATGCGGAATACTAGTGTTAAGGGAAGAGAGGCGAAATGTTTTTTCTATGGTATTGCATAAGGAATGACCATTAGACTGTGTGTACTTTAACTTCAACTTTATTTGACCTTTTTAACCGTTTTGATTCAAGAGCCACTGATGAGTCTTATGTAGTCGAAAGGCGTGTCTGATGTACAAAATTATAAGCCCGGTTTCTTTGATGACTTTCTTTCTTTAACATATTATAAATATTATGATTCATACCTTCTATATAGTATGTAGTTTCACAGTTAGTAGTCATCAATTAACACAAATATACCAATATAAGTTTGATATATACAATAAACAGCTGCGCCATGAGCGCATGATACGCCCGTCGTCTTGTGTGTGAATTTTTATGCAATAAGCATAAATAGTTTCTGACATACGGCGTGACATGCGAAACCCCCCTTTTTTTTTTACAAAAAACTCAATATCTCAAAAATAAAATTTTGAATCAAAACCAAAAAGTATACAGATCTTTAGATTAATATAACTAAGAAGTGTGTAAAATTTTAAGCAATAATCATAAATCTTTTTTGAGATACGGCGCGACATGTGAAAACCCCCCTTTTAAAAAAAAAATCAATATCTCAAAAATAAAATTTTGAATCAAAACCAAAAAGTATACAGATCTTTAGATTAATATGACTAAGAAGTGTGTAAAATTTAAAGCAATAATCATAAATCGTTTTTGAGATACGGCGCGACATGTGAAAACTCCCCTTTTAAAAAAAAAAATCAATATCTCAAAAATAAAATTTTTAATCAAAACCAAAAAGTATACAGATCTTTAGATTAATATAACTAAGAAGTGTGTAAAATTTTAAGCAATAATCATAAATCGTTTTTGAGATACGGCGCGACATGTGAAAACCCCCCTTTTAAAAAAAAAATCAATATCTCAAAAATAAAATTTTGAATCAAAACCAAAAAGTATACAGATCTTTAGATTAATATGACTAAGAAGTGTGTAAAATTTAAAGCAATAATCATAAATCGTTTTTGAGATACGGCGCGACATGTGAAAACTCCCCTTTTAAAAAAAAAAATCAATATCTCAAAAATAAAATTTTTAATCAAAACCAAAAAGTATACAGATCTTTAGATTAATATTACTAAGAAGTGTGTAAAATTTTAAGCAATAATCATAAATCGTTTTTGAGATAAGGCGCGACATGTGTCAAAAATTTGACGGGCGTATAAAAAAGTCTGAACGACGCAAGTTTTTATGGAAATAGTTGTCCAAGAGTCATGATTTTGCGAAATGTCGATCTGAACAATATCTGCAGTCAAAGCGAAAAAAGGGCGGACAAGTAGTTTATTTTAGAGGGATGGATGGACTGACATGGGTAACAATATATATCTCCCGGCCACAAAGTGTCAGGGAGGGGAGGGGGAGGTAAATAAGCTACAAAAAAATGGCTATGATAAATTTGAACTTAGAATCATGTGCAAAACAGTGTAGCCGAGACCATTGATTGGCGCGCTAAAATATCCCATTGACTGGGTCAGATTAGGTGAACGTTCGTCTGTAACGCCCACAACTCACGACGTATTTATTATAAACATTTAAACTGTGGGGTGGCCAAAGGGTTTCAGTATATATACGAACTACAGTGCACAGTATATTATATACATATTTTATTTGCGATCATAAAATGTACGAAGTCGTCCATTACTATGTAAATTGGGTCGATTAAAAAAAAAGCTAAATATGTTTCTGTTGCCAAGGGTTTTTCACAAGTATAGTAGTTAGCAGAAAAGTTCACCAAACTATACATTTTACCTATTCAAAAACGTAAATGCAAATTTCACAAGGCTTGATCCAAATAGCCTTTTTACTGTCTAATAACTTGCAAGTACGAAAAAGACAGGAAAGAAGTATATTTCGTCTATATATTTTGTGTTTGCACACTTTTTAAAGTTGATCATGCATTCGTTCTAAAATAAAATTTTGACCAGATAAAAGTTAAAAGATGACATAATTGGACAACCGGAATTGTTAAATCGCTTTGACGTCCGAAAAAAAGATAATAATCAACACATCCATTGTAACTTTTAAAGCCAGTTAAATCCTTTTTTGCTGAAAAAACGTGCGATATCATAAAAATTGATTATCAAAACATAACTAAAACACAAGTAAAGAACGTTTAAGTATTCAATATAAATCAAAACATAAAGGTTATTCCTGATTAGTTTTTCCGAATTATTTTATTTAGGCGTTGAGACCCTTTGGTGACCCCACAGTTTAAATGTTTATAATAAATACGTCGTGAGTTGTGGGCGTTACAGACGAACGTTCACCTAATCTGACCCAGTCAATGGGATATTTTAGCGCGCCAATCAATGGTCTCGGCTACACTGTTTTGCACATGATTCTAACACAATAAAAAACAATTAATTATGCTATTTGAGTATTTTAAAAAAACTAAAATTGTAAAAGAATATCAACAACGATGCAAATTTATTAAAATAAATGAGCCAATTCATGTTCACTTGCGGTTTGTTCGAATGGATTGCTACCTTTAGGGTAAGCACGTGACATCATTCTTTTATGAATCACTGTAATGAATTTTGTTTCGTTCAATTTGAGGAAAATGCAGTCTTCTGGTGTCAGGATAAAACCAGGACTCCATTTTGAATCAAATATAGTTAAATTTTTTGATTGTTTATCATTTGAGCAATGAATGTTTACTTTTTGAAGAATGCGTCTAAAATGATACACCTCGTCAAAAAATTCTTTTTCCTTTAAAACCTTTGTCCAAAATATTTTATAGAAAGTTTCGTATAAAGCATAGTCAGCAACATTCCACTTTCTGTGATTATCTATATCTTCTGCTGATAAATTCAAATTTTGATGAAGCGGCCATATATTTTTTGAGATGTAAATCATGTCTTTAAAAGACCAACAAGTATAGCGTTTAAAGAGTATGAGTGACTCGTCGAAATATTCCTGTAGAAGTACAAGTTTAAATCTTTTATTTAATCTTTCCAAATAAGATTTAATGAAACTTCCGTTTCTTATCTGGCCGATTGGCAAGCCCAAGTCTACAGACATCTTATTGTTTGTTACGGAATAATGTGGATTGCTCGGTTCAAATTTCCATGGAGATTTCAAATAATCTGACATTGGATTCGTTAAACTTTGATTAAAGATATTAGCAAAGTATCCTTGTTGTGTATATCCATAATAATTTACTGTTGAAATAAGTTGTTTAAGAGGTTCCCTGATAATTGTGAATAAAAAAGTATCATTTGGAAAGGTATTTTGAAATGCATCCTCGTTGTAGATCACGTGATTGCATAGTAAATCGTATTCATCTTCTTCTCTTTTTGGAATGATATTGTCATAGCTTATTGTTTCTCCTGGTTTTCCAATATAGTTAAATCTGTATTGGTCTATCTTCTTCAAAGGCATAATGAACGTCAAATTACGGAAATAACCGAAACGCTGAATAATGCTCATAATAGTTGAACTTGCTGTTTTGTGAGTTTTTAAAAACGCAACATGAGTCATAGGAAACGAACAGACCTTTTTTGTTGCTGTCTGCCTGGAATACATATCATATTTTATGTCAGGCCGTTGTAGATTGGAAATGTGTTTCTTTATTTTAGTTGTATTTATTGATTCATTTAACTTTGCGATTCTTTTCGATTTTGTATCTGAATTCAGGTTAGTCACATGAATGTCCTTCTTATGGCTGCGCAGTTGCTTTTTAACAGCTTCAGAGTATTCTACCATTTTTTGTTCCATGTCATAAGATATATGGCGCTCCAATACATCTTGTCTATAATCATAATTGTTAGTGCAGAATGTGTATTGGATGACCACTATCAAGGAACCAAGCAAAGAACAACTAATTATCAGTCTGAAAAAGAAAAAAACGATATATTTATATGTAGATAAAATGTAAACAAACAAGATTGGTTCACAGCTTCATAAAATTGCAATTAAGAAAGCAAAGCGCATCTTGGTTTTCAAGATAGTATAAGTATAAAAAGATTTGTTCGCTTAAAAATATTTTTTCTCCCGCTTACTATCAGATATAACAAGCGAATAACTACATAATAGTTATTGAAAAACCGGTCATTATCGTGATATATGGACTGTCCAAAGGACAGTGGTATTGACTAAGACAGCAATAATGACCTCAGTGGTATTGACTAAGACAGCGATAATGACTGAGCCGTAGACGAGGTCATTATCGCTGTCGCAGTCAATACCACTGTCCTACGGGCAGTCCATGTATCACGATAATGACCAGTTCTTTAATAACTATTATGTTTATTTCATTGAGGAACCATGTTTTTAAAAATTCTCATAAATTCAAATTGATCAAAACAAACTCGAGTTATTGTACGATTTCTATAGGAAAGAGTGAAGACCAGTCATAGTGATAACTATATATAAGCACTACCATTCATTTAAATGAAAAAAAAATCAGCATATGAAAACAAAATAAAGTTTTCTATAATTTTATAATTAACAAAAACATATGGTAAACAATTCAACAACTTCAATATAAAATTAAAATCAAGAAAATGTTTTAAACAGAGAAACCACGCCCCACCGGTCATTATCATGTAAAAGCCTGTTAACGACCGGTTTTCCTGTTAAAGATCGATAGAAATTATTACTGAAGCATAAAGAATGTCATGTGGCCCCTTGTTATCCAATAAGAGAAGCTAATTCTTAACCGATATGAAATAACAATATTTATTCATAGGCAGAAAGTCTGACATCTTTTTTACATATAGTGTATACACATTCTTGTACTTCGTAATCTTTTTTAGCAGTTTTGTCTTCTCTCACTGGTATGCTGTAATCATAGTTTGTTTTTGTTTTTTTTTAAATTCCGAAGAACTTAGATCAATCCCCCAGTTTCCTGTTTTGACAGTTGAGTAGGGATCATACAACAATTTGCTATTTTAGAATCTTAAAAGATTATTTCAACAGTTCTGAGTTTTTTTACTTGTGAGTGAGCTGTCTACCGTTTGTTATTTGAAATCTGATGGATTGTTATCTCATTGGCATTTGGAGATTTGTTATTTTGATATTCATACTGCATTATGAAAATACGATCACATCATTGATTGAATTTCCATTGTTTATGGCGTTTTAAACTAACCAAAATGTTTTGTGTACTCTTTAGTAAATATAACACAGAATGCATTAGTTTCTGAAAAGGCGTAATTCTCGTATTTCTTATCTAAACAAGTAATGAATTTTACACGTTATTACCGGAGACCTCAACATTGTCAATAACACTTCCCTGCGAAATATCGTGAGCCTAAATCCATCAATTGGAAATACAACTTAAAATTCTGATGGATTCAGTCGAGGATTATGCCAGGCAATGGGCTAAACGAGAGAAAGAAGACGTAGATACTCTTTCCGAATGGATTAAGGCTGTGAGGTCGTTGATACAAAGCCGAATTAAGAAACTAAATAGGTCTATCAATACCCATGCTACGTCAATTTTTAAAGACCCAAATGTTGCAAAACACTTGTCCTACCTCCATGACAAATATGTTGTTGTCCCCGCAGATAAAGCCCCAAACAACATAGTTTTTGTGTGTAAATATCATTACATAAACTGCTTGATAAATGAATTAGGTATTGACAATTCATTTGGAAACTCAAAATATACCCTCACGACACTCACCAAAGAGGAAATCCTGGATAATCATAGGTCTGTTCTATGTTCCTTTGGAATTTCAACCAAAGATGAAGAACTGGATCTTCCATCACTGTATTGGATACCTAAACTACATAAGTGTCCTTACAAACAACGGTATATTGCTGGGTCTTTCAAGTGCTCCACGAAATCTCTTTCTAAATTATTAACATCTATTTTATCAGCAATCAAAGCCGGGCTCCAAAGTTATTGTGAAACTGCCTATTCTAGAGATGGCGTGAATCAGATGTGGATACTAAAAAATTCCAAAGATCTTTTAGAGTACATACAATCTAAGACTCTCTCATCTTGCAATAGTATTAAAACATTTGACTTTTCTACATTTACACAAGTATTCCCCATTCCAAACTAAAAGACAAATTGAAAGAGTTGGTATTACTTTGTTTCATTAAAAAGAATGGCGAACGTAGATACAAATATCTTGTCTTGGGGAGGGATAAATCCTACTTTGTAAAGAATCACTCTGATTCAAACAAAAAATTCTCTGAAACTGACATTATCAAGATGCTTGATTTCTTGATTGACAACATATTTGTTACGTTTGGAGGACGTGTTTTTCAACAGACTGTCGGAATTCCAATGGGAACCAATTGTGCCCCTCTTCTTGCCGACTTGTTTCTTTATTATTATGAGGCTGACTTCATTCAGGAACTTCTTAGGAAGAAAGATAAGAAGTTAGCAATATCCTTTAACTTTACGTTGTGCTATATTGATGATGTTCTCTCACTAAATAATACAAAATTTGGTGACTATGTTGAACGAATCTATCCCATCGAACTAGAGATAAAGGATACTACAGATACAGTTAAGTCTGCCTCATATCTTGACTTACATCTAGAAATTGACAATGAGGGTCGGTTGAATACAAAACTTTACGACAAAAGAGATGATTTCAGCTTCCCAATTGTGAACTTTCCATTGCTATGTAGCAACATTCCAGCAGCGCCTGCATACGGAGTATATATCTCCCAATTGATACGATATTCCTGGGCTTGTATTTCCTATCATGATTTCCTTGATAGAGGATTGCTGCTCACAAGGAAGCTATTAAACCAAGAGTTCCAAATGGTGAAGTTGAAATCATCCCTTCGTAAATTTTACGGACGCCATCACGAGTTGGTTGACCGTTATGGAATAACCGTTTCACAGATGATATCGGATATGTTCCTTATGTCGTAACTACAATACCCTTCCCTTTTCACGAATGTGAGCTACCGAATTAGACTATTTACCGGATTTGTAATAACATAAGCAACACGACGGGTGCCACATGTGGAGCAGGATCTGCGTACTCTTCCGGAGCACCTGAGATTACCCCCAGTTTTTGGTGCGGTTCGTGTTGCTTAGTCTTTAGTTTTCTATGTTGTGTCATCTGTACTATTATTTGTCTGTTTGTCTTTTTATTTTTGGCCATGGCGTTGTCAGTTTGTTTTCGATCTATGAGTTTGACTGTCCCTCTGGTATCTTTCGTCCCTCTTTTACAGAGATGACACAAGACTGCAATTAGCCAAAACCGATAATAAAAATGATATCATTAATAATAATAATAATAATACAGTTGTATTCATGCCATTATTTGTAAAAATGGAAAAATTGATATTCCAATTCTGCTAAGGTAGGATCCATTCTATAATTCCGATCCTGTAAATGAAAAGAATACAGGGGAAATGGTCCTACCCTTTTAATGATACAAATTATCAATTTACAAAAGTACAGAAATGAATTTTTAGAAAAAAAAATTCTGTATTTGAAAAGTAAATAAATATTCATTTTTCGTGATTTTTTAGGAAAATTTTATCCGTCATGTAACTTAAAAATGAATTTATTAATTATTATAATAAAATCTTACCGGACTTGCTTTGTTGACGTTTTCATCCTTCATACAACAAAATAGGAAGGTTTTACCTTATCAAAGTTTTACAAGCAGGTGGGTGAGAGATCTCTGATAATTGTTGATAATTCGGTTGTTATCCTTGTCCTTTCTATCCTTCCTTTTTCTGTACTATAGACACCAATACCTGAATGGCGAATTATATAATAGACCACTGAACAGCTCATATATTAGGTCATATGGTGCTTATACATTAGAAATCAAGTAGTATTTCTTCACAAGAATTACTAAAAGAGGGTCTGGATGGGGATTTCATTTCTTTATTCTTTAATTTTCTAGACCCCTGATTTTTCTCTATTCTTTATGTATTTTGCCCATTATTCTCTGTATTCTTTTTATTTTAACACCCCATTATTCTTTATTCTATTTTTGTCGCACTCAATCTGTACTTTTTGTCCATTATTCTCTATTCTGTAACCCCACCCAGACCCTCCTAAAACATCATGTTGAAATTATTTCTTTGGGAGTAACTGAAGCCAAATAAATATGAAATATAAATAACTAAACTTTATGAAAAAGAGTTTAAATCATATATTCGGTAACAAAGTGTTTTAAAATATAAACTGGGATCACGTCCCAGTTATATATCAAGTAAGATTTAAAAGAAGGATTACTACCTCGACATTAAAAAAACATTTTGTCTTAGTAAATGAAGCAAAACCTATATAAAATATAAAATGCTGAGCTTTATATTTTACAAGTATATCTGAATAGTATCTTTACATAATTCTCAATAATATTAATGAAAAGATGACTGTAATTTGTTGTATTTGAATATAAAAAGCAAATCTGAGATGGATTTGAATGAAAAAGAAATGTTCAATAGTATTTGAATTAGAAAATGTATTATGGATTCAAAACTGGAAAGCATAAATAGTAATATAAATTGATGAACTAATCTACCATAAGCTTATGCGGGGTACGAAAGTTTCATTCGCACGTATCTTGAGAATATTTATTGTATTGTGTGCTAAAATGTCACAAGTCAAAGGACTTAAGTCTAACTTGAGTGCGCGACAGTTGCGCGTCCAAAGCGTAACATAGGAATACGTCCGAAAATAGACGTTTTTTAGTTTAATAGTATGATTTCGTGATCCAGGAATAACCTTCATTAGGTATGCTAAAGGTCAACCGTTAGGAGGCAACATGCATCATTGAAAACCCATAAGAAATTAAAAAAAAATTCATGATCAATTGAAATGTATTGGATGATTGGATTTTTTTTATATAGATGTTATTTTTTATATGAATTTAAAGAAATTAGGGGTTTACCTCAAATACA